GCAGAAGGGCTGAAAGGATGGAACAAGATGACACAACGAGGGAGGCCAGTCGAAAAGAAACCACCTCAGGCTGGTAACCCCTCAAGGCACCAGTGATGGCAACACAGTAGTAATCATTGCTCATACATGCCCAAATAGTAGTCTGCAGCAGAATCAAGAGGAGGTGTGGTGAAAAACTATTCAGGACTTTCTCTTCACTGTTCCCTCTACCCAAAAATAAAGCCTGCATACCAAACAGAGCTTCATAATACCTGAGAAAGTAGCACTACTGAGGCTGGCAGATACAGAAGCAGCAAACTGTACAGCAAAGCCGCTGAGCTGTGGTAGAGGAAAGGAGAATCCAGTTATGCCTGCTACCAGTATAGCCCAGTTTGGAAGAAAGAATTTCCAGGTGTCTCCTGTTCTCCCAAACCAAGACCAAGGCAAATATGCACAGTAAGAAACACTCACCATTTCTTTCTGGAAATAGATGACAAGCCCAGCAGCAACCTGAGTTATAAGGATTACCATCAGGCAGGTGAAGTACTGGAAACAAAAGAGAATAGATGACCACTGTCAGCTTTTAGAAAGGTCTGTACATAATAGCACAAGTTTCAGTAAGATTTCATATACAGAAGAAGTCATAACATTGACCATCACCTTTGCCTGCAGACAAGCTCTGCTATCAACTATGCTCTCCCCAGTAAAAGGCTTAAGTATAAGCATCTACATTAGACCAGTACACTTCAGCACTTCTCCCATCAGGCCAACAGGAACACTTCAAGAGGGAGAAGGTTTACAAGCACTCTCTGCATGTGTCATTCCAAATGGGACTCCCTCTCCCACCCCCAGCTCCATTCCCAGTCCACTCTGACCTCAATCAGTTGGACTCTGCCTACCCCAAGCCACCACAGCAAGAAAAGTCAATTTTTAAAATAATAAAAAAATAGGTTTGTAAAGTCAATTACCTTTTTAAAAAAATACTATTTAATTTGTTTGAGGATCTAAATTTAAGATTTGCCAGCAAACTGCTTTTAAGGAAAGTTTGACATCTGCGGTTACTTTTAAATGGTGGCAGCTTCTACCATTACATCATAAGAAGTTCCTGATGCCAGGACACACATTGTGGCCATACCTGGTTTCCTGTACATATGTGCTCTGAATAAGCAGGAGTCGAGTAGCAGGCTGAGGTGTATGAAGCCAGTGTCACTTCATCCACCACAGCCAGAAAATTTCATATAGATGAACCTTTTGAAGAGAGGTCCTGACATACAGGACATTCCTAGTCAAGTCTCTCAACTTTTGCACTTTCTACAGAAGCTGAACTCTGCAGCACAGCAGGACACTGTTGCTCTTCCTCTTCTCTCTCACTGCCCTCAATATTTGTCCTTGTACCACTGAGAGCAGAATGCCAGCTGGGAAGTTGCTCCCACACGGACAATGTACAGGGTCACCTGGCACACCCCTCCTCAGTTGGCAGTCCTCAACCCACTGTTTGCAGGAAGTGTCAGTGACATCCCCTCTCATTTTGCAGTTATTAGCTCATCATCAGTAATGTCTGAGGAACTGCTGCTGCAGCCTGTTGACTGCTGGAGAATTTCGTGTGTGCAAATTAATAATTGGATCTAAGTTGACCTAGCAGAAGTACCGTCCCCAGAAGACCCGAGCCCCAGCTACAATCCAACAGACATTTTGCAGGAGAGGTATTAAAGGGTGAATCTAAAACACAGCATGAATTCTCTCACCAGACCCAAGAGACATCGGATTTCATTGACTGCTCCAAGACAGCCCAGGAACCCCATCAGCATGGTGAGAGCTCCAACACCGATGAGGATGTATGCAGCAGTCTTCACGGAGGGAGATGACATCTCTGTAGGGGCCAGGAGAGAGAACAAAATTAACTAGAGACAAGAACTACACCTGCTATCACCATTTAGAGAACTGGCTCCATATCTATTTATAATAGTCTGTTGTCTTCTACAAAGAGACTGCACAAAGGAGTGTTGAACATGGGGATAGAAGGCTGCTTCTGAGTGTCTTCTGATGACAGAAGACTTTCAAAGCCAACCTGCAGGTCTCTTGTCTCAGAGCCTGGAAGACTCAAGGTCACTCCAAACAAATGAACTGTGTTTGGAGAAAGTTATCTGCTTGCTGGATTTTTAACCCCCTCCTGAATGCACTCTGAGTTAGAGTTAGATGGAGTATGTTCTACTCCACAACTACTGCCTATTTGCTTCAATTCCCTTCACTATCTTCAAGGAAGCTTTTTCCCAAGTCCCGAAACCCTTTTTGGTTTGGCTTTTCCCTTTAATGCTCTATTCCTTATTCCAGCCATTCTGTTTTTACTTATCCACTTGCAGTCAATAGTGGGACACACAAACTCTGTGGAGTGAAACATGAGGCAAGAGCTAGTGTTGAGCACAGACGATGTGACAGGTTACTTGACAAGTCAGTGTTGCAGCACCTGTGTATGACCCCCTGCAAACAGATGCTATTTCAGGATCAAAACAGATATCATGCCCAAATTATCTACTTTTACATATCCTCCTAGCTATCCCCTGCTATTGTGTCAGGAACGACTGTGCTCTTGAACGCTCAACAGTTTTTCAACCAAGTTTAGGTAAGTATTATTTCAGACATGCTGGTGCTGTCAGTCCTCTCCCTTCAACATTTAGTTCTGAGCAACAGAAGAAACAAGTTCTTACATTTGGGTTGGTCACAGGACTATTTCTTGCCAGATAGGATTGGAAGGAGCAAGCATTGCAGCATGACAGTTGAAGAGATACTCTGTCTAGAAACAGTAACCAGAAACCTCATTTATCATCAAGAGATACTCTTAAACCTGCAAGCTGCACAGTGTAGGGGAATTCTGGATGTCCAGTGTTTAATGAAAATAATGTTCCTAGAGCTCAGCATTTAGTTTCCTGGACAGAAGTCCCAGTAGGCAAGCTTCCTCTGAGCTCCTCCTGAAATAGGTTAAGAGAGAGTAACCAAATCCAGACTAATACTCTCTCCCCTAACACGTATCTCCCCACACTTCTGACACCTGGTGCAAGTCACCAGCTTCCAAACTTTTTCCCTAGAACACGCTACACAGAGGAAAAAGATCAGTTCTCAAAAAATTAACCAGAGCTGTCTGAATACAGGTCACTTCAGACACTTCAGCCTTGATTCATTTCCAGGCCAGACCCTCCCTAGCTGGACACAAGGCCACAAAAACGAGGATCCTGCTCCTCCTTCCTCACCAGTCCTGGGACTCTTGCTGTGCAGGTCAGGTGCTGATACTGCAAAGCATTTACTGAAGTAGCAGCCTTACAGGAGCAGCCTTCACACGACTACACTATTCCCTCCCCCAAAATCTGCTCAGCCGTCATATGAGTGTTCAAGTGCCCGGGTTGCAGGACCTCCACAGTGCTAGAAAGCAGTTGCTTAGTCAACTTCTCATCAGAAGAAAAAGGTATTTCCAACTCAAAAGCCCTTCGGAGAAGCGTACTTCTCATCTGCAATACGGTCTTGTCTTGCAAGAGAAGGCTCTGCTGGCAAGACGACTCCTGCTCTGTTTGCTGTGACTCCGTGTTTTCCCCTGTGCTGGGCAGGCAGCCAAGCAAGTACAACAGGCTCCTTTGGCAGCCGCTGGAGTGCCCTGCTGTGCCGGGCTCCCTCCCTGATGCCTGGGTTACTAAAGCAGAGGCAAAGAGGGGTAAGGCATGGGAAAGGAAGCGAGGGGGCAGGGAGAAAGAGCTGATGCTGGAAATCTCCAGGAAGGAAGCTAAATCCTTAAATGCTCCGTTAGCAGAGATTCTGGGTAAAATGGGAAGAAACAGAGCCAAGCTCAGGGACTTTGTACCTCCACAAGTGGCAGTAACACCTGGCGGGGGAACAGCTGCTGTCCCACTGAAACCAAAACCACCTCAGACCATCAGGGGTGCTGCAAATAGCCAGGCCCTGATAAGTTCCTTATTGGCTGTATTAAAAGCGTATTTCTGCTCATGCTCCCACTTCATTAACCAACACCCCTTGTTGTGCTTCTTGCCTTTCTAGCACTGCAGTAGCAAGCCAGATGCCACAGCACAACAGAGCAAGCAGCAGTGTCTGTTCCTGTGGCATTAACGGGGGGGTTGTCTCCATCCAGCACCTTCCAAAGCCAGGCCAGCAGGACCTGGGAGATAAAGCCCTTTGCAGGATCACTGTGGTTGGGAACAGGGCTATGAATGCCATTATTGTTTGTTCCCTGGGACTGCAAGCAGCGCGAAGGCAGCCCTCCTGCGGCATCTGACACTGGTGCCAGTCAGCAATTCTGGAGGTAGTGGCAATGGGTAACCAGACCCGCCAAGCAGAAAAGTTGTTTGAAGCCCCCTCTAGGAAAAAGCACAAAGGAAGCAGAGCTCATGAAAGATGGAGATGAGCTACGCATTTGGTGAAAGACCACTTACAGCCCTGCAAAGCCCAGGCTCTGCTAAGCCAGCTCAGTTTTTTGGTTGTTACAGAAAGCAGAGCCTCCGTTAAAGACTCAAGTCGATGCTCTTGGCTGACTTAAAGGGGAAGGAAGCTAGTCTCCTGCACGTGCAGCGACTCAAAACACCTCTGATGGTCAGGCCAAGTCTCGTGAAGTGTGTCTAATAAAAGTATGCTTTAGAAGTCAGAGCACTAAAGACTGCACAGACCCACACCTTCTGTCCCCCCGGTCAGATCGACATCCTTTACTGCTTAGGAACAAACATCCTGGCTACTTGCAATATACAGGAAGCATCAATAAATCTGGGTACTTTCTCTCTTTGGCATTTAAAACAGTCAAATTGAAATACATCATTACAGAAAGCAGTGGGAGCATAGGGGACTCGCATAGCAAAACTACATTAAGGCATTGGGGGCCTTCAGAAGTGATGGTAATAAGGAACTGTTCTGAAAACACAGAGCATGCAGTGAAAAATAGGATGAAATACCAGTCCCTACGTTTTAGATGAAGTATTTGGATTGTTGGGTGAAGAGGCAATGGTCTCACTCAGTCTGACCCTGGTGTTGCAATCCACAAGACTAGGAGGAATGCTGTGTCTCCGGGATTGCTCCCTCTCACCCTGTCCCTGATAGAGTCCCATCTTGCTGTGGACCATGTTACTGCCCCGGTCACAGACCACGCGTAAAAGTATTGCCATCCCTAGACTACACCATGGTCAAGCACAGCCCCAGGCTGGAGTCAGTTCAGAAGGAGAAAGAAGATGAAGAAACATGGTCTTACGTAGAACCGCAATGAAACTGGTTTTGTCGGCCAGAATCCATATTCCAAAACCCAGGATGACAGCGCCCAGGATCTGAAAGAATAAGAACAAAACACATATTTGCACTTATTAGTTTAGACAAATAAGAAGAGGCAGTCACCTTTCTCCATACTTCGAGGATTAAAAACAACCATTCTTTTGCTGTTCCCACCCATCTCCCCCATGGTACTCCTCCCAAAGTAAACAGGATTAGCATGACTCCAGGAAGAGTGCCTCAGCCAACTGCACAGGAGCCCCAGGTTCTGCTTGGTAGTCCTCCGCACAGTATTTTAGCAGTACATGATGTTATATAGAGGGACCATCAGAAGCAGTCTGAGGAAGAGACGACCTGCTGCTAGAACCTTGTCAGAAGCAAAAAGCAAGCATACTACTCCTGTGAAGAACAGAGGAAGGACAAATACATCTAGCAAATGATTTTGAAGATTTTTTTTTTTTTTTTTTTTTTTTTAAAAAGAGAAGTCCCTGACCCTATGGGACCGGGCTGGGAGCCAGCTGCCAAAGGATCAGATATCTGGCAGCCAGAACCTTCCCAGGAAGGAAATCTTCAGCTTGTCAGGCTCTGTTATAACGTTATGGCTTCATCCCACAAATGCAAAAACCAGCAGCATTCACTCTGTATGCAGGTTCCCTTGAGTGAAGCGCTTTGCCTCTTGCAAAGCCAAGCTTAGGCATTTTGGCTTGGCCGTTACTTCATGCCAGAATACGCCAGCCCCTCAAGCCAACACATCTTACCACCATCAGAGTCAAGTGTTATAAAACATCAGCCACGGTCTCTGCCTCACTCACCACAGTCTTACCTAGGGGAAGGATTAGTAGAGCAATATGTCCCTGTGAGGACTCAGCTGAATCCAGACATTGAGCTGAGAAGGCAAGAGACGTACAATTTTCCCATCTCATTTTGAACGGGGGGGCAGGGGGAAAGCATGCTCTATTTTAGCTTCCAGATATCACCATGTTTTATACGACACTGTGAGGTGTTTGCGTGCAGGTGACCCTTAGCTCTCAAATTAGGACAACAGCACCATATATGCATAATAAAGTAATTATGCTGAGAGGGCTGTAAGTCTGTGGCTCCAGTAAGAAGCTGAGACTTGTGCTGTTCAGCCATTTAGAAATGGCAAAAGCTTGAAAACACTTGCTGTGCAAAGATCAGACTTTAAAGAAACAAGGGAAGGACAAGGAGTGCAAGTGAGATGCTTCCAGAGGACAAGAACTGCAAGCAGCAGTTCTTACACCAGCAAGACTTCAAGACAGGATGAAGTGAAATACTAAACAAACCAATAGGGCTGAAGAGAGATTGCAATTCTGTGCTTCATTAGCGAATGCTCTGATATATGGGAGACAAGGAAAATGCCAAACACCACCTGAAGCAAGCTGGAAGAGAGGGTTGTATAGACAGGCATTGGCTCCACATTTTGAAAATGTACACTATGCTTCAGCTCCTCATACAAAGAAGCTTTTCTGAGCAAAGATAAAGCAACAGTCTGAAATAAACTGCTTGCAAGCCTTCCTGGCTTGGTAGAGGGCACAGCACGTAGTTAGCCCTGGGGACAGGATTAGAAAGTCAGCAAGCAAGTTCCCATGTAAGAAGACAGATGAAGAAGTCTGACTCAGCTGCAGAAAGCATATAACTATTGTATCCCAGAAAACAAACAAGCAAAATAGATAAAAAGACAAGATGGCAGTAACAAAAATTCCCCCTTGCCTAATGTCCCAACATGCTGCACCGCAGCACTCAACTGCTGATCAAACTAGAAAGGCCCCTTGAACATGCAACAGCTGTAGCGCCTAAAAAATTCCTCACAAACTTGGCATTGCCAAGAACTGCTGAATTTACAGTTTGAGGCAGCCTCACATTTAAACTATAGTCTTAATAAAAATGTTTGTCTTAACAAAGATGCAAACGGGGCTGTATGTGACATCTCTCTTGGCTTGCTAACCTGAAATGTCACCTAAGTTTTGCTGCTGCTGACAAAACACAGAACGGCTGCTGAGCTGCGTTCCTGGGAAGTTATTTGTTACGAGGTGCTCAGACTACCCAAGGCCTGTTTTCACTCTGATCTTTGCTCTAGTCTGCAGCTCGTGCATTTGCCAGGAGCTGCTGTAGAAAATGCTAAAAGGGGAAGGCAGGGAGAAAATAAACCACAGGGAGAAAAGACTGTCCTATTAACAACAGTATATTAACCTCCTAGCAGGCTAGTATCTCTGCTCAGCATCTTCAGGAGTCTGCATAGCATAGCAAGGCTGCTTCTGCCACTTGGCTTCAGAGCCTCCATAAGAGAAGCCACATCTGCCTTCTATAGAGTTTAATTCCTCTGCTCCACTGCTTTAAACTCCTGAAGTGGGGGACAGATGTCTCCTCTCCACCCTAGGGGTGGAGATTTCACCCCTGATTTCAG